TGGGCCGAGCACCCCTCACGCAGCTGCAGACCCCGGCCCCGCCGCTCCACGGGCCGGCCGCAGCTTGGCCCCGATAGAACCATCCGCGTGGAAAGTTGTGTTTTCATTTTGAACGCGGGGTGGGCGCTGCCCGGAGCCTCTCTGTGCTCCAGGCCAGCGCCCTGCCTCTTGAGCACCACTTCCGGCCTTCTCTGTGTATGTGGTGCTGAGGATTCGAACCCAGGGCCTCAGGCATGCTAGACAAGCCTAGGCCCTAAGGGAAAGTTCAGCACTGAAATGCTGTCTCCTGTGCAAGAAAGTATTAGAAACTGTTGTATGACGTTACTTTCAGGAGCTGGGCGAGGTGGCCGGAGTCTGTTATCATTAAAGAGACGGGCCCCCGGGTGCCCGTGGCTCACACCTGTCATCCTAGTTGCTCAGGAGGCTGAGATATGAGGATTATGGTTGGTTCAAAGCCAGCCCAGGCAGGAAAGTCCATGGGACTCTTATCTCCAGTTTATCACAGTAAAAGCTAGAAGTGGCACTGTGGCTGTAGTGGTAGAGCGCTGGCCTTGAGTAAAAATGAGATCAGGGACCGCACCCAGGCCCAGAGTTCAAGCCCCAAGTCCGGCAAAGATAAATAAATAAATGAATTCCTTGCTTTTTTAGTCCAGTGTTTTCACTTTCACTGTCGAGAAGTATTTTTTCGATCCTGTTTAGTGCCTCTGCCAAGTGTATGAGATTTTCTCTCAGTGTTGGGGAAGTTTTCTGTTGTTTTATTGAATAAGTTTTAGTGCTTTTAGTTTTGAATTCCTCTGCTTATCAGTTCTGACTGCGTTAATTGGATCTTTTGGCTGAGTCTGTCAATTCTTGGATTTTCTTTTGGCATGTGCTGAGTATTTTTCCATGCCTTTGATTTGTTGTTGTTGTTGTTCTAATTCTTCTGTTTTATGCCCAGCTCCTGATTCTGTTTTCCATTTCACATGTTCTGTTGCTGTGCCATTCAACTGTGGTTTGCACTTGGGAAATCAAAATTTTTATACTTCAAAGTTCTTTGTTAAGGTCAGTTCTCATGGTGTTAATATCATCTCTTAATGAGGTGTGTAGTGTTCCATTTTTCTCTGTCTTTTTGTGTGATTTGTATGTTCTTTGTCATTTTCTCCTTGCATTGTTCTATTTGCTTTTGGATATCCCATTTTATTTCTTCGACCAATTCTCTCATCATTTCTTTGATGGTTCTTTTGTCCTCCATCTCTTCTTCACTCTCACCCCGTTTCTTCCTTGGATTGTTGGCTTTTGGATTTGGTTTGTTGTTGTCTTGGTTGTTGATGAGTTTTGTAATCTTCTGTTGTGATGTATGCATTTGGGTTCAGGGGCTGTGGAGGTCGTCGGGTTGTAAAGTGTGGTGGTGGAGTGACTCACTGGATGGATCTGTCAGACTTAGCGTCTGGCAGTCTTCAGCTCGGGGTGGTGCGGATAGCGTAATGTGTCCTGCTCAGTGGTTGGGGCTGTGTGGTGTAGGGTCAGACTGGTGTTCAGGCCTAGGTTTGGGCCCAGTGACGTGTTCCTGGTATGTAGTGCACAGCAATCTGGTATCTTGATCTGGTTCTGTATCCGGGGTAGGTGGATCCCCACTAGCCCAGTGGGGACTGACCCCTGGCCAGTCCTGAACTGGCATCTATTTGCAGAGGGGCTGGGTGGAGGCGGACAGGACAGGACAGTGTTCAGCACCTGGACCCCCTCTGGTAGAGGGGGAGGGCGCAGGTTCCCACTGTTCCCCCCCCCCAGTCCTGGATTGGGACAGGAGTGGGCCCCTGGGTGGGCTCCCACCGGGCAGTGCGGGAGATCGTCTCCACTCGTGTTCTGGGTCGGTGGGTTCGTGGTCCTGGCCACTTGCATGGCTGATGGCTGGCGTGCACTTGCTCCAGGGCTTACTTGCACTAGGTGGACTGGCTCTGCATGGGTGCCCCGGGCTGGCCAGATCTCCTTGGGCTGGTTTGCTCGGTCAGGCCTGGGATGGAGGCTGGGGGGCCTAGATTCAGGCCTCTGGGGTGGGAGTGACCTTTAGAAGAGCTGGCTCTCCCTGCAGGTGGGGGAGATTATCCCCCCTTCTTTTGGCAGATCAGGTTTTTCTGCTTCAGCCAGGGTTGTGGAGGACACAGGGTCCTTGTGCCCACCCGGTATTGGCCCTGGTGGTCCTGGTGGTCCTCTGCTGGAAGCAGATGGGGCGGGGAGGGGGCAGGGAGGTGAGGAAGGAGTCTGCCTTCGGGCAGGGGGAGGGGGCAGGGCCAGCACTCTGGGTCCCCAGCAGGACACTCACAGCTGCTGGCGTTGGTTCTGGGCTGACCAGCGGTGTTGAGAACATTTTCTGTCTCTGGGTGCTGGGTCTCACGTTGCTGATCTTTGTCGCTGTCTGTGCTGGTCCGGCCCTGGGCAGCTGAGGAGCGGCTCCGGCTGCTTAGCTGTGCTGTGGAGCCAGGCTGGGGGGGCGGGGGGTGACACTTCACAGTTTTCCATCTTTGAGTGTGTTAGGTGTAAGTTCTTCATTCCTGTGAATCTCTGTTTATGTTCTTCTTGTTGTCGATCTCTTGGGGTGAAGTGTACATTAGGATCCTACTGTCTGTCTGACTGGAGAGAGCAAGGTCACTCCCTCCTGCTTGGCTGCCATCTTGACCAGCACCAGGTGTGAAATTTTGTCAGTTGGTGAGTTGATGGATATTTGGGCTCCCTGTCTTGGACCACCAGATACAAGTATTCATGTGGATGTGTATTGTTTTTTGGGTAAACACCATTATGGTAAATGTGTTTTCAAGAAACTGTCCAACTCTTGTCCACATCAGCCCCTTTCCCCCATTTATAGACCGGGTCTAGGTCTAGGGTCTCCTCTATTTCCTTGTCTTTTTCTGGGGGGGGGTAGGTGTGTGTGTGTGCACATGTGTATGTGTGTGTATTATAATTGACTGGGTGTTCGTGGTACACATCTGTCATCCTAGCTACTCTGGTGGCTTAGACTACAGTTTGAAGTCAACCAAGACATGAAAGTCCATGAGACTTATCTCCAGCTAACCAGCAAAGATCCGGAAGTGAGAGTGTGGCTCAAGTAAAGCACCAGCCTTGAGCAGCAAAAACAAATGAGAGCATGGAGCCTTAACTTCAAGCTGTAATACCAGCACGACAATTTTAATAACTATAATTACATGCATGTATGTTGTATATATACATTATATACAATTTGTTAGCAGTCTTGGGACTCACAGTCAGGCAGGTGCTCTACAGCTGAGTTACTCTACTGTTTTTCCCTGGTTCTTTTTTAGGATAGGGGATCTTCTTCCTGTGTGTGTGTGTATATGTGTGTGTGCGTGTGCACATGCACACTGGCCCAGGGCTTGAACTCAGGGTGTGTTATCCCTGAGCTTTCTGCTCAAAGCTAATGCTCCACTTCTTGAGCCACAGCTCCACTTTGGGATTTTGGGGGGTTTATTGGAGATACAGAGTCTACAACCTTGCCTGCCCAGAATGGTCATACCCTTTAAAAACTCAGTGGTGATAGCACAGCAAGAAGTATTTTCTACATGAGGAGGCTCACATTTTTCATACTTAACACATCTTACTTCAGAAGGATGTATCTTCAGATAGAAACTTCTGGGAGCATTAATTTTTCTTCCAGAAAAGCAGTCCTTGTAGTATACATGTATACTAATTTCGGGGGGGGGGTTGGTCATGGGGCTTGACCTCTGGGCTTGGGCACTGTCCCTCAGCTCTTCAGCTCAAGGTGATTGATTTGTCGCTTGAGCCACAGCACCACTTCTGGTTTTCTAGTGGTTTGTTGGAGATAAGAGTCTCATGGACTTTCCTGCCCAGGCTGGCTTTGAACCGTGATCCTCAGATCTCAGCCTCCTGATTAGCTAGGATTACAAGTGTGAGCCACGGGTGCCCGGCTTTATACTCATTTTTCGAATTGAAGATAATACGTATCTTGTGCAGATGAGCGTACATAGCATTTACTTAGTCCGCACCTGTGAGGTTGAACACGTGCTGAGTTCATACGCATGCGGGAGACAGCTGTGCGCTCTTGTCTCGCTCTCAGGTACTTCATGCACGGCGTGTGTCGGGAGGGCAGCCAGTGCCTGTTCTCGCATGACCTGGCGAACAGCAAGCCGTCCACCATCTGCAAGTACTACCAGAAGGGCTTCTGCGCCTACGGAACCAGGTGCAGGTAAGGCTGGGTGGGGATGCGGGCGGTGTTCAGTTTAAAAGGAATGGAAAATCATCTCAAACCATGAGAAGTGTAAAGTATAATGTTTTATATCTATTTTACCCCATTTAACAGGTCCTAGACTCTTCCTCTGCTGTCACTTTATCTCCTTGCTGTAATTTTGCTTAGTAATGTTTGTGTGTCATCTTTTCGTTTTTGTACTGGTTCTGGGGCGTGAATTCAGGGCCTGGTGCTGTCATGAGCTTTTTTGTTCAAAACTAGAGTTTTACCACTTGAGCCCCAGCTCCACTTTCAACTGTTCAGTGGTTCATTGGAGATGAGAGACTTTCCTGCCCAGGCTGACTCCTAACCATGATCCTCGGATCTCAGCCTCCCGAGTCCCTAGAATTACAGGCGTGAGCCACCAGTGCCTGGCAGCCATCTTTTTTTTTTTTTTTTGTCGGTCGTGGGGCTTGAACTCTGGGCCTGGGCGCTGTCCCTCAGCTCTTCAGCTCAAGGCGAGCGCTCTACCACTTGAGCTACAGCGCCACTTCCGGCTTTCTGGTGGTTTATTGGAGATAGGAGTCTCACGGTCTCTCCTGCCTGGGCTGGCTTTGAACCGCGATCCTCAGATCTCAGCCTCCTGAGTAGCTAGGATTACAGGCGTGAGCCACCAGCGCTGGGCGCAACCATCATTTTTGAAACTAATCTTCCGTACATATTTATGTGCCTTTTGGTTTTTTGGTACAAGTACTCGTGCATTTATATACAAAGTCTTTGTTTGAAAGGTGGCTCAGCGGTAGAGTGCTTGCCTCACATGCATGAGGCTCTAGGTTCAATTTCTTAGTACCACATAAATAGGAAAGGCTGGAAGTGGCGCTGTGGCTCAAGTGATAGAGCACTAGCCTTGAGCTGAAGAGCTCAGGGACAGCGCCTGGGCCTAGAGTTCAAGCCCTACGACAGACAAAAGAAAAAAATCTTGTAACTAATAAACTGGAATGTGGGTTGGGTGTGGTTCAGGTAACGGATGGCTGGCCTACAGGCCTTAAGCCCGACTTCAAACCATAGCACCCCGGAAATAAAGCACAGCAAAAACCTGTCTGCAGAGTGGAATGCATTGTGAAAGCTTTTTTGGGTGCGGGTGTGGGTGAGAGCAAGGCTTGAACAAAAGTCTGTGCATGCTAGGTGGGTGCTCCAGCCACGCCGAGCCATGTTTCCAACCCCACCCCTACCTCCCCAGCACTGAGCACACTGCTGCACTGCTGCCTGTTTTATGCTTCCCGTCATAGGTAGGATAAAAGTATGGGGCACTGTGCGCAGCTTCTTCTACCAAAGGACTTCTCTGCCCGGGCTGGCCAGGGCTACAGCGCTGTGCGAGCCTTCTGCTCTTGCCGGATGCTGAACAATGCGCCCTTCCACGCGCAGCCCACGCGCAGCTCTCCCCCTAGCGGGCAGTCCTCACGGACGCTCCCAGCGGCCACCCCAGCCACGTGGCGGAGGCAGCGGCAGCGGCAGGTGGCTGGGGCGCAGGCAACACGCGTGGCCAGCATGGCTGTGACGTGCGTGTGTGTGTGTGTTTTGTTCAGATACGATCACACCAGGCCCTCAGCGGCAGCAGGCGGCGCCATGGGGCCTGTTCCCCACGCCGGGCCTTCCCCAGGCACGCACAGCCCGCACCCTCCTGACCTCGCCACATCCACCGTGAGAATGCACGCGCACGAGCCGGGGAAGCGGGAGAAGAGGACGCTGGTTCTCAGAGACCGCAGTGCGTGAGCAGCAGCCCACCCAGCCCGGGCTCCTCCATGGCCGCCTCTCCCCCAGGGTCCTCACCCAGGGCTCCCGGGGGCTGCATGCACCCCAGATGGGCAAATGAGCCCCTCATTTGTCCCCGTGGAGCATAAAAGCAATCTTTAGGGGGTGTTGGCGGGGAGCGTGTGCCACCAATGCGTGGGTCGGCGCGGCGTCTGCTGGTGTCAGGTCTGGCGTGCAGGTAGGGCAGGCGCCGGCTGCTCTGTCCTCTTAGCAGATAGTAAGAGCTGTGTTCGTTGGCTCGCCTCACCGTCAATGCTGTCTGGCTGTCAGTGGTGAGCCTGGAGCCAGGCATGTTCTCCTGGCCAGCCTGTGGGGCCACGGCTGCGGGCCAGAGAGGCTACTGGGCAGCTCGCATGTGGCGGCGTGGCTGAGCCGGTCTGGGCTCACCTTCCTGTGCCTGCGAGGCGGGCCCCGGAGGCCGCACCTATAGTGCTGAGGGTTTTGTTGTTTTGGGGTTTTTTTGGTCCGTCCTGGGGCTTGAACTCTGGGCCTGGACATTGTCCCTGAGCTTTTGTGCTCAACGCTAGCATACTACCAGTTGAGCTACAGCTCAACTGGCTTTTTGGTAGTTTTAGTGGAGTCTCATGGACTTTCCTGCCCAGCTAGTTTCAAACCATGATCCTCAGATCTCAGCCTTCTAAGTAGCTAGGGTTATAAGCACGAGTCCCCTGCACCCAGCTTGTAGTGTTCGGGCCCTGACGTTGGGCTTGAACTCGGCCTGGGCGCTGTCCCTGTGCTCTTCAGCTCAAGCCTAGTGTTCTGCCACTTGAACCACAGTGCCACTTCTGGTTTCCTGGTGGTTCTGTGGAAATAAGAGTCTCATGGACTTTCCTGCCTGGGCTGGCTTTGAACCACGATCCTCAGCTCTCAGCCTCCTGAGTAGCTAGGATGACAGGTGTGAGCCATCAGCTCCTGGCTAGTGTTTTTTTTTTTTTTTGATATTCCCATGCTCTGCTCTTTCCTTTTCTCCCCGTGCTGTGGGGCTTGCTTTTGGTATGTTGTGAGTCTACGGTTCCTTTCACTTTCCCCTCTTGGCCTCTTTTCGCTCGCTGTTCCAGGCATGCTGCTCGTAGGTCACAGGCAGTGGGTGAATCCTCTGGGCTTCGGCTCTGGGCCACCCAGTTCTCATTGGTTGTGTTTGTGCTCAGATCTGTGTGGCGTGACTGAGGAGAAGACGTCCGTGGGCGTGGCGAGTCACCCGGGCGGCTGCAGTGACGCCCAGATGGGCCTGGAGACCAAGCCGCACTCCTACCTGGACGCCATCAGGAGCGGGCTGGACGCCGCGGAGGCCGGCGGCTCCTGCGGCGGGGAGCAGCTCTGCCCCTACGCCGCCGCTGGCGAGTGCCGCTTCGGGGACACCTGCGTCTACCTGCACGGGGATGTGTGTGAGATCTGCAGGCTGCGCGTGCTGCACCCCTTCGACCCCGAGCAGAGGAAGGCGCACGAGAAGGTAACGCGGGGCCTGTGTGGTGTAGCCACGTGCTGCTGTCGTCCGGGCCGCACACGTGGCACCGGGATGCGCGTCTCACGCTCTCGTTACCGCATCGCCATGCTAGCGTTTTAAAAAGCAATTTGGAATAAGGAGAAAAAGAAGAGGCCTTAGAAGTGTACAGTTCTGAGAATAGATACAACAGGAGCAGGGTGTGTGTGCGCGCGCACGCATGTAAGCAGTTCGTGTGCTTGCCGTCACGCACACGTGTGCTCACACTCACCCGGCCTCCTTCCTCCCCAAGGTTGTGCTTGTCTGGCTGGTTGCGGGCGGAGGCCTGCACTCTGGGGCCTTTCAGGTCCGAGCGTCTCCGGCCCCGCAGCTTCCCTCGCACGGGGCTGTGTGACTTGCACAGGACACGGGAGGACCCGTGGAGGGGGCCAGCGCCGCCCGCACCGCGCACGTGGCTGGGGCAGGGGAGCAGGGAGCCGCGGTGCTGCAGTGAGCTGGCCCAGGCAGGGCCCGGCGGAGGTGGCACCCAGGTGCCCACGAGCAAGCGGACGTGGCAAAGGAGCTGCCGCTGCAAGCCTTTCGCCATGCCGCCAGGCTCGCGCGCGGGTGCGCAGCTCCAGCACTTCGGATTTTACTGTGGCCGAGTGGGGTGGAACTCAGGAGCCAGGAGGCCGGGGTGCCAGCGATGGTGGGTGCTGACCCCCGTCCTCTGCGGCTTGGCTCTGCGCTGGGGGCAGCACTGTCCTGCAGGGCATGTGTCTGCGGCCCGGTGACTCCTGCCGGGCATCTGAATCTGGGGACTGGCCACGCAGGTGTGTGCTGCGTGTATGCTGCCCGAGCTCCCTGCCAGCCCGGAGTCAACGCCGCCGCTCCTTGTCTCCTGCAGATGTGCATGCTGACCTTTGAGCATGAGATGGAGAAGGCCTTCGCCTTCCAGGCGAGTCAGGACAAAGTGTGCAGCATCTGCATGGAGGTGATCCTGGAGAAGGCGTCGGCCTCGGAGCGGAGGTTCGGGATTCTGTCCAACTGCAACCACACCTACTGCTTGTCCTGCATCCGCCAGTGGCGGTGCGCCAAGCAGTTCGAAAACCCCATCATCAAGTGAGTGCCAAGGCTTCAGCCGCCCGGCCAGGGATCCGCGCCACCTCCTGGCCTCAGCGCCCTGCCCAAGCCCTGGCCTGTGGAGCCCCGGGCCGCAGCCTGTGCTCACAGAAGCCACGGCGTTGCATGCCTGGGTGCTCCAGCAGCCTGGTTCCCTTTTTCATCGTTGTTTGTTCACTTTACTTGAGGATTCCCTGGACTGGTCTGTGGTCACGAGTACATGCTACACAGCCTGGCCTCGGAGGTGCCCCCGGCAGCTGCTGTGCCTGTCCCATGTGCTTCCTGCAGGCTGTGTCCTGGAGGGGGCACAGGGTCTGCATTGGCTCCGCCCTGGGCAGAGTGCATCATCCACTGGACACTGGTGCGGACACTGCCGGCCGGGCCCAGCGGCAGCCGAGGGAGGCTCTGACTCTCTGCCTGCTCTGGGCACGGCGTGGAAAGACACGTGCGCAGTGCGACCTCTCGTCACATTTTTGTAGTGTGGTACTTCAAGACCCAGCCCTGTGGACGCGTAGCTCAGCACCGCTTTCCACTTCATTGTAAATAAGTCTGTTGCCTGGGCAGCGCGCCTCTAACAGATGGAGGTGTCCATCTGTGACACCTCCATGCTTGTGAGCACGTCTGTGATGTTTTTCTTTCTGAAGTGTATTCCAGGAGTGGGGTGCAGGCCCTGGGCTAACTGCATTTCACTGAAGGGCCGGACACCCCGGCACTCTGCCCCTCGCCCGCCCCGAGACGCTCTAGAGGAGGGAAGCCGTGGCGCCCTCCTGACCACACGCGCGCGCCCTTCCTGCTCTGGGATGCGCTCCGCGCCGTGCGGCGTCTCCCTGCTTGCAGGTGCAGGACGCCTGCTGCGGGTGGACGTGGGAGCCGGGCTCCACGGAGGCACGCGGGGTCCAGGACGACCTCCTCTTACACACCTCGTTCTCGCTGCAGGTCGTGTCCGGAGTGCCGTGTTATATCAGAGTTCGTAATTCCAAGTGTGTATTGGGTAGAAGATCAGAATAAAAAGAACGAGCTGATCGAGGCTTTCAAACAGGGAATGGGGTAAGTGTCTGCTGGCTGGGGTTCAGCCTCTCCCCCCTCAGGATGGGGGGTGAGGGGGTCCTGGCGGAGGGAGCGGTGGCATCCCCTAGGGACCCTGGACATGGCGCCTGTGGGTCTTTGGCAGTACCTATTGAGGGTCTTCCACGTCACAGCCTGGTCTCCTGTCACAGCCTGGTCTCCTGCCGGAGACGCGGCACCAGGAAGGCTGATGGAAGCCCCTCCCACAGCTTAGGTGCTGTGGCTCAAACAGGAAGCTAGAAGGCAGACACACAAAGCCCAGGCCGAGGGAGGAGGAGCGTGCTCTGGGTTTCTGTGCCTCGGTGTGGTACTTGAGCCTTGTTGAGATGAGGCATATTCCAGAACATTCCGGATGGAGGGGAGCTGAGTCTTGAGGGGCTCTGTGTGTGGCGTAGGGAACGCAGCTGTGCTGGGCACTGCTCTGGAGGGCGTGGGATGGTCTGCGGGTTGTGCGGGCCAGGGGCTTGTCCTCCGCCTTGGACTGCGGCAGGTGAGCGGGACCGACGTGGCCAGGGCTGGGTCTGTGTGAAGCGGCATTGCTGGGCGATGGGGCGTGGCCATGGAGCATAGCGGTGTGCAGGGATTTTTTTTCTTTTCTTAACCAACCTTTGATCCTGGCCAATTTAATGTTTTATGACTTTTTAACATTTTTTACGTGGTGTGCAAGGGGTTTGCTGTTGAACTTGTTGGGCCCGGTGCTTCTCCATCCACACTTGAATCCGGGCCTCCCACTCCCTGCCGTGGCCGGGACTCTCCCTTGAGCCGGTGCGGCGCGCTTGCCACCCCGCTGGATGCTGCCGCCCCACAGGCCGCACGCGCGTGCTCCTCCTGCTGTGCCGCCCCTGCTCCCGCCCAGACCCTCCGCACCCCATTCCTTCGGCCTTTACAGACGCCCTTCTCGAAGGCAAGCTGGCTCCCACCCCTTCTGGGTCGCTGGGAAAGCGACTCTGGCAGCAGAGCTGCCCTCCCTCCCCACGCATCCTTGGCCACCAATTGCTGGGGAGGCGGGGGTTTTCAACCGCTGGCACCGCCAGGCGAGTCTCCGTCCCCGAGTGAGTCCTTCACTGGCCTCCGGCCGGTATTTCAGCCAGTGTTCCCCGCCCTAGTTTTCCTTCCCTGTGACGCTGTCCAGCGGGCCACCGGGAGCCCTTCCGGTCTTGTCAGTCTTTACTCTTTGCTCACTTCCTGACCCAGTCAGCTGTGTCCTGCCTGGCTTTAAGATCTTACCCTCAGCATTATAAATGCTCTTACAAGCGGCTCCATTGTTTGGCTCCAGTGTAAAATCTGTTGGATTTTGACGGTGGGTAGATGACCCAGCTCGGGCTTGGCAGCGCCTGTTATTTGCTGTGGTTTGCATCGCGCAGGCTGCTCGGGACACAGGCTGCTGAGGACTTGCTGGTGTCCCGTTGCTTCAGGCGCCATGGAGACGCACGTGCCCCCCCCCCCCCCCCCCCCCCCCCCCCCCCCCCCGCCTCCTCACTGCCAGTGCTTGTGCCTGCTCTTGTTGCGATTTTTTTTGCCAGTCCTGGTGCTTGAACTCAGGGCCTGGGCACTGTCCCCGAGCTGCTTTTGCTCAAGGCCAGCCAGCTGGCCTTGATCTAAGGGGCCACTTCCAGATTTTCCCGTCCATGTGGCACTGAGGAATTGAACCCAGGGCTTCATGCGTGCTAGGCGAAGAACTCTCTACCACTAGGCCACATCCCCAGCCCCTTGTTTTGATTCCTGAAAACATTTTTCCTGGGGGTTTCAGGCATCCGCCTTTCCACAGACCTTGACCTAGGCCGGACTAAAGGAGGTGTCGCCACGGCCACCTCGCTGCTCTCGGCGCTTACCCCCCTAGGAAGCCGCCTACTTGTGTTCCTTCTACAGTGTCCGAACCTCCTCGTGTTATCGTCACCCGTGGGATGACATGTTAGTGGCTCCCTCAAATCCTAATCCCCACACTCAAGAAGCTGAAGCGGGAGAGGCATAAGGTCAAGGCCAGTGTGGCCTACATGGTGAGGCTCTGTCTCCAACGACGACCACAGGTTCCTCACTGCTCAGGAAGCCCCCGTGCCACCTGTGCAGGGGAAGGCAGGCACAGCTGGGTGCATTGGGCCCACACAGGTTCTGAGTAGGAATGTTCCAGTACTGTGGTGGGGACCCTAGGGACTCTTCCTGATGGCATGGTCTTGAACATTGCCCAGTCAGTGGCGGGGTGCTGCGGGCAGCTGGGTGCGGCAGGGACATGGGACGGCTCACGGGGCCATGGTGACAGGTTGGCGATCCCCTGCATGCTTGCAGGCAGGCCGATGCAGTCTGACGTGAGCAGCTGCACAGGCCCTGGGCTTGAAGCCAAGTGCAGGAGGCAGTGGGGCCCAGAGACGTGCTCACGCGTGCATGCGCGCGCACGCTACAGACGGGCTGAGCCCCAGCTTGATGCTGTTTTTTTTTTTTTGTCGGTGATGGGGCTTGAACTCTGGGCCTGGGCGCTGTCCCTCAGCTCTTCAGCTCAAGGCGAGCGCTCTACCACTTGAGCTACAGCGCCACTTCTGGTTTCCTGGTGGTTTATCGGAGATAGGAGTCTCACGGTCTCTCCTGCCCGGGCTGGCTTTGAACCGCGATCCTCAGATCTCAGCCTCCTGAGTAGCTAGGATTACAGGCGTGAGCCACCAGCGCCTGGCTTGATGCTGGTTTTAAGAGCACAAAGCATTGAGGCAGGACACAGGGTGGTGCGGAGGGGGGCATGCCAGGCTGGCAGCCAGGGCTCAGGACCTTGCTTGTGACCAGGCCGCGCCTCTCCATGTGAGAACGCCTGCCTGAGGGGCCTCAGAACCGGGGGTCAGCAGGGGTCACCCAGAGACCAAAACCAGAGCAACCTGATTGGCACTGAGAGCCAGTGGCAGAGAGCTTGCCTTGCACCACAAACTCAAGCACAGCGCTGGAGTCACGCGTCGCTGCCTGGGGCGGGGACTTTCCTAGCAGGGGCGGGGAACGTGCAGGGCATTCTTGGGACTTGGGCAGAGCAGGTGGCCGAGCTTCAGACCTTGGCATCTAGGGCGCCAGAGGGCGAGGGTGAGGGCTCACAGCGGCCTCCAGTAGAGTGGGAGGCCTTGCTCCTTGCAGCCTCTGGATCCCCCTGCCTCCTCTTCCTCCCGCCTCCCTCCCCGTTCCCTGCAGGAGGAAGGCTTGCAAGTACTTCGAGCAAGGGAAGGGAAGCTGCCCCTTCGGAAGCAAATGCCTGTACCGCCACGCCTACCCTGATGGGCGCCTGGCAGAGCCCGAGAAGCCCCGGAAGCAGCTCAGCTCAGAGGGCACCGTGCGGGTGAGAAGGGCGTCCGAGCTGGGGCTGGGCGGCGGGGGTGCGGGGGCGGCCTCTCCTGACCTGCCGCGCTGCGGCTCCTGTGCAGTTCTTCAACTCTGTGCGGCTGTGGGATTTCATCGAGAACCGGGAGACGCGGCAGGCACCCGCCACGGATGACGATGACGTGGCCGAGCTCGGGGATCTCTTCATGCACCTTTCTGGAGTGGAGTCGCCAGAAACCTAGTCAGGGGTGCTCCCGACTTGGCTGTGCCAGGTGCCCGGTGGAGCCCGCAGTGGCGTGGGGCTGGGCCCGAGTGGAGAGCGCCTCCCCTGGCCTTATCCCACCGCGGGGCAGCTGGGAAGAGCAAAGGGATAAAAGGGCGTGCGCGTCGCCCCCACGATCACTATTTTTATAGCTGATTTTAGTTGTCCCTCCGGCCCCCGGGGACCAGCTCGCCCTTCCAACTACTCTGATTGCTTTGAAAAGAAACCTGGCTCCTGTCCTTTGTGAGTTTTTCTCAGAAGCAGCCACCTGCAGCCACGCAGGAGGCCCGCCATGGTAACGTCCTGCCGTGAGAAGGCCTTGAACTCCGTGAACGCTGCACACGCCGGCCCGTGGCTCTGGGCCTGTGGAGTGAGGACGTCCCTCTCATGTCCCAATTCAGCCACCGTCCACCCTCCGGTGCACGGCATGGTCCAGGGCAGGCGTGCTGTTTGGCGGGGGGTGGCCAGCACCGCCTGTGGGCTGAGGCCCGCCACACCCGCTCCATCCATCCTTCAGCCCTTTTTGTGTGACCCTGGCTTCACTCCAATGTGTGAAAACTTCACAGCACCCAAGACAGTTTCTGACCGTGACTTGATTTGAACTGGAGTGCAAACAGACTTGCAAGGCAGAACATTTATTCCAAACCTTAGTTTTATCTATTTTTGTAAAAAGCCGAATATTTTATAAAGGTGTGGGCTGCGGATGTCTTACCTGAGTGAGTGTGGAGTGCGTTCCTTGCCAGTTAACTGCAGTCGAGGTTTCAGAAGGAGCAGGCACGGATGTGGCCCGGCTGAGCCCATCTCCAGCCGAGCTCTGCACCTGCCTGCGCCGGCATTTCTACTGGGAAGGGGGTGGGGGGTGTTGTTCCTTTTGAAGGAGCTCGTAGCCATTACACCTAAACTTAATTTATTTTATTAAAATAACATCATTGAGGAGTCATCAGATAACTTGTATCTTGTCAGACGCAATAAACAATTAATTAAAACCCAAATCATTAAGAAAACCTGTATTTCCTGGCTTTCTCGTAGACGTGACGTGACTGGAGGCAGGGCTGGCCCGTGGCCCGCCCCACAGGGGCAACTCCTGGAAGACAAACTGAGCAGGGTGGGGGGCGGGCGGCTGGGGAGGAGAGGGGGAGGCTGCTCCCAGGTGGGCTGGTGGAGCACCCTGCCTCCCCACGAGGTCCGATGTGGGTGCCGGAAGGAGGCCGTGTCCCCGAGTCACACTCCTTAGTACCAAAGCAGGCTCCTCCGGGCGGCTGGTGCAGCAGTCCGGGGCTGTTTGGTGCATTACGTGCAAAACTGGCCAGGCACCACTGTGAAAAGCCCACATCCACAGCCCCGCGTCCCCGCAGTGGGCTAGACAGTTCCGTGCCCTGGACGTTCGTCTGACAGCCAGAGCCCAGCAGCAGGATTGGCCAGCCTGGGAGTGGCTTCCTTCTCCAGGGTCAGGTAGAAAAGAAGGCAACATCTGTGATGGTAAGGCCCCGTGAGTTGTCCAGATGGTCCTTAGCAGCAGCAGCAGCAGCTCCTCTGAAAGCATGCACTGTGCTCCCAAAGAAAGGGGACAGAAAAGTGCCCGCTCCCTCCTTCCTCCCTGGGTGGCCAGGGCACAGGTGCAAAGTCAGCTAGAAGACCGGCAGCCGCGGGGACGTGGTCAGCGTGCAAGAGTTGATGTCCTCGGTGTGGGCCGCGCGGTGCAGGGAAGGCTCAGACGCACTCCGGTTGATTTTCGGCAGAGAGTGTTGGAGCAGCTCAATGGAAGACAGGATCTGAAACAGGCCACACCATGGTCTCCTGGTTAAGACAGGCCACCCCCTACACAGGACGGGACGGGACGGGACGGGACGGGACGGGACGGGACGGGACGGGGCGACGCGGCCGTCCTCCGCGCAGTGGCAGCCCTGCTGCTCCAAGTGCTGCACGCACCCCAGGAGCAACTCACCTGGGGGAAGAGGGGCCTCTCCTCCTTCACCTTCTTCACACAGTCAGCCACCAGCCGTTTCATGGCTTTGGGGCAGTTCTTGTACAGCCTGCTGAGATCTGGTGAGGCGTACCCTCGGCCCACCATGAAGATGATCTAGGGAAAGAAAGGCATTGAGAAAGGGAAGGGAGCCAAGCCTCCTCTGCACAGCGTGTCGCACTGGTCACCTGGTCTCGGTCGCTGATGTGCGAGTAGGGCAGCTCCCCGGTCATCAGCTCGTACAGCACGATGCCGTAGGAGTAGACATCCGACTGGAAGCTGAACGGGTTGTTATCCTGCATTCGGATCACTTCAGGGGCCTGTGGAAAGCAGACACATCTGTCCTGCAGGGTGACCCACAGCGGCCCCTTCCACTCAGTAGGGAAGTCCTGTCCTGGGACATGACACACTTCTTTGTGGTTACTGGAGTCTGAACTTAGGGCACTGCACTCACCAGACACTTTTTGAATAAGGGGGTGAGGGTGGGGGCGGGGGTGGTTGTGTGTGTGTGTGCGCGCGCGTGCGCGCGCCCACCATTCCTGGGGCTTGAACTCAGCTGTCCCTAGGCTTTGAGGCTCAAGGCTAATGCTCTACCACTTAAGCCACAGTTCCACTTTTGGCTTTTTTAGAAGATATTTGGGAGATGAGAGTCTCATAGGCCTGGGCTGGCTTCAAACTGCCATCCTCAGACTGCCATCCTCAGATCTCAGCCTCCTGAGTAGCTAGGATTACAAGTACGAGCCACTGGCCCCTCGAATGGCATTCCCTGTTCATTTTCAAGCCGACCCAGATGGTGACCCTCCTGTTTACACCTCCCATGTGGCTGGGAGACAGGCACATATCACCACGCTGGGATCTTGCCAGCCTGGGGCTGGCTTCAAGCTGTGACCCTCCTGACTGCTGCTATAGCCGCCATGCCCGCTGTTCCCTGAAGGACTTGACTCTCGGGCTCCCTCTAACTCGGGTGCTGCTCTCTGCTGCCTCACCCATGCTGAGCTTCCGCTTTGGCTCCATACAGTCTGACACTAGAGGAATTTACTGAGGTGCGGGGAAATGCACAGGGCTCTGGGGTGCGGCCCCAGCTGTGCGCAGAGGACAGCAGTGGGCATCCAGGTCCTCACCATCCATAGCACAGAGCCAGTGGGCTGCTCAACCTGCTGAGAACCACTCCAGCGCGACTTCACCGTTGCTAAACCAAAGTCTCCAATTTTCACCGTGAGGCCTTCGTGGAGAAATATATCTCAATGCCTGTTAAGGACTCTGGTTGCAAAGCAGTGGCCCAACTAATTCTGAAAAACTTCCCAAATTTTCTGTCGCATGTTCTCTCTACTCCCCCTGGTCCAGCGTTCTCAGAACTGAAGTTTAGGTTTCTGGAGTTTTAAAGTGCTTTTGAAATTGCCTCTATCCCCACAAAGCGAGTGGCCTTATAATCTTCCTGGGACTGTTACCCAGAGTTCTTCCAGGCCCAGCCACATGTGGTGACGGCTTTATGGTCACCTCCGCCTGCTTTCTGCATCCACACAGCCCACGGATGGAGTGCTGAGTCGGGAGGAAATCTCGCTAGATTACCAACGGGTAGCCCGGGAAGTCAGACCTCCTCCTCCAGTCTCCGCCGCCTGCTGGCATTGCGTGGCTGGATGCTAGAAACCCACCGGCTGTGACCATCTGCAGCCTGGGATGAGTAAGTACCCAAAACAGGCATGTTCTGATCCAGCTCCTCTCCCCAGCTAAGAAGCAGAACTGGGTTCTAATACCTCCATGCTCCTCGCAGAAGTGAGGGGTGTGGCAAGAGCAGCAAGTTTAAATCTGAAACACACACACTGAGCATCAGGAAGAGGCAGGAAACCCCTGCATATCAAGGTCTTTGTCTTGAGACAGGGTCTCCCTCCGTACCTTGCTGGCCCCAAACTCACCGTCCTCCAACCCCAGCTTTCTCAGCCGTCCATCACAGGCGCCTGGCACCACACCTGCTGCACTTTGGGGAATCTTCTAGCATTTGGCTTGTAGCCAAGTTATCACCTTTATATACATACACATCCTCCACAAAGTAGAAAAATAAGTAGGTCTATCTTAAGTTTAACCAAAATGTGTATCACAACTCTTGTGGGAATGTTTTCAAATCACGGTTGCTGGGAAAATTTTTAAAAAGAAAGGAACTTTCCCCAGAAAACACAGTTTTGTAGAAGGCAGCCACTCTTCTGGTGCCTACAGATTTTGCTTCTCCACCAACTTCCTGACTTTTGCCCTTTCCTAAAAAGTTGTCCCTCAGCACGGAGGCTCCCCCTTGAAGCAAGCGGTTTGTTGGGCTCAAATCACCAAAGGATACTGTTGGATTTCATGTCTCTGTGGATGATGTTCTTTGCATGTAGATAGCTGCGAAGGGAAAATGAGTGAGTCAGACAATTTCAAGTACCTGGGAAATAAAGCCTGCCTGCAGGGAGGCTGTGCGGCCGTCGGATCCCACCCGTGGCGACCAGCACAACCACGCCAACACTTGAAGCACCAACCGTCCTTACAAGTCCTTCTGACAACAGTGCCCATCACCTAATGGACAAATAATGTGACATCCCCAAAATTAAGTCTCGTGCGGGTTCCAATTTGGATTTACCTTCAAACAATTAAGCCAAGTAAAAGAAGCTAAGCATAGAAGACCATATGTTAAACTTCATACGGCGTGACTCTGCTTATATGAAACACGAGATCTAGAGACAGGATGTGTGTGCCAGGGCCTGTGTGGAGCTGACTGTTAATGAGCGTGGGTTCTTTCTGGAACGATTGAAAATGCCCTAAAATTAGACTGTGATGGTCATATTACTACAAACATACTAGAAAAACACTAGGATAAACTGATAGAAGGATGAATTTCAGTGTTTCAATTAGACTTCCGTTTTTTTTCACATAATTCTGACAAATTTCCTAAGATAATGAATTCCACATGAATTTTAGGACAGAAATGCAGACTGCAGCATTTGCATGCGGACCACAGCTAGAGGGGTCTGAGGCTCCCTGTGCCTTTACCCTAAGGGCGTGTTTATCCCGTGGTGCTTCTGATGCAGCACTTGCACGGCACCGTCTCTAGCGTCTCTAGCTCTGAGGACTGTAGCCAGCACAGAACTGTGGCCAGAGGGCAGAACATAACCGAGAGCTGGAATGAGTCATAAAAGGAAAACAAATCATCTCCAGGTGACATCCCGCCCGGCCTCGGTACTGTGTCTGCCAGACACAGCAGCGCAGGTCCCTCGAGAAGATGGCGCTGGTCGCGCTCTGTGGTCACGCCTCCCCAAAAGCTGAGTAGCAGCTGGAGCCGGGACCTGGGCCCAGTGCGGAATGTGCACTTCTCATTCTTGCCAAGCCTCCATTGGGCCACAGCAGAGACCCCACCTGATCAGACCACGCACCACAAAGCGAGACAGGGGCCGCCCGGCCATCTACTCACTCCATCCCCTGGGCTGTCTGCCGCGCGATGTCAATGAGCTGGAACATCTGGAATTTGGTCTCCTGGACGTGCAGGTGTTTGTAGAGACTGCTGCCCTCGCACCACTGCGTCACGATGGCCAGGTTGTCCTTCGTCATGTACCCCATGAAGAGCAGTATGTTCACATGCCGGGTTTTGCTGCGGGGAGAAAAGGGTACTCAAGACCGTCTTATTTCCCACAGGCACCCCAAGGAGCTGCTCTTGGAGCCCCTCTGTGCTGGCCATGGCAGTGCCCTCCACTGGGGCAGCAAGGACCCTCCTCTGTGGAGTCCACACTATCCGTTGCTCTCCCACAAGTCTGAATGGTGAGCAAAGACTGGAAAGACGGAGGAAAGCAGACCAGCACGTAGAGGAAAACAACAGTAACCAGAGAGCCATTTCCCTACTGCATGTCACCACCAGCCAAAAGCTGGGCTGCTGAGTGCCGTGGGCCCAGGGAAAAGACTCGTGCCTGATCTGCGCCGCAGTGCTGAGCAGGTGGCACTGCCCACGCCAGGCCCGGCCTGCTGCTCTCGCAGCCACTCACCGCAGCACAGCAACCTCGTTCCTGAACGCCTGGAACTGTTCTGGGGTTGGGTCGACAACCTTCAGGATCTTCACTGCAACATCGCCTGAAAATGAGTTTGTAGTCAGTGTAAACTTTGTTTTTTGAGGGAGAAACAGTGAGCTACTTTTCAAACCGATGGAACCAAGAGGCCACTCGGGAACGGAGGGCAGAAGCAGAAGCATCCGGAAGTGGCTTCACTTAGCAGGCCTGGTGCAAAGCGGCCCACCAGTCCTGGGGGCTCAGGAGCCAGGTCGTGCGGGACGCACCAGCAGCCTGGCTGATGGATGCCAGGGCGTGAACGGACTGGACCCGAGATAGCCCTCTACATACGATGGACACCATCATGAGGCGTCTTTGCCTTCTGGACCATTAAAAAGGAATCCTGTAGCACATGCTCACTACACCCTGATCGCCTTTAACGGCGCCCTGTGCTGTGACGTCAGCAGTCCCCCTCACTCTGCGGTCACCAGCAGAGGGGAGTCCCCACCTGAGGGCACCTAGCCGGAAACAGAAGGCGCTGGAGTCCCACCCCAGGCAGGGGGCGTGCTCAGCTCCCCGCCCCGGCAGGATGGAACCGGGACGGCCTCTTCATGCTGCTTCAGAACCGCTCGGGAGCAGCTCTACTCCACACAGGCTAGAGTTACAAGTCATTTTCCAAGTGTCTTTATACAGCTGCGTTTATAGTCAGTTCAATCCGTTACTTAACACCCTTTAATGACCTCAAATTTTCATGAATTAATTTGCTAAAACAAGGCCTTCCACTCAGGAGGTTGAGGCCAACCTGGGCTACACAACAAGCTACCATCTCAAATACAAGAAGGCCAAGCATGGTAGCTCAAGCCTACGATTCTAGTTACTTGGGAGGGCGAAATTTGGAGGATCTCAGTTCCAGATCAGCCCAGGCAAGAAGTTCAGAAGACTCTCAACCAATGGCCAGGCATGGTGGCAAGTGCCTATCATTTCTGTGTGGGGAAGTCTGAATAGGAGAATCATGGTTCTGGTTGATCTAGGACTACAGTAAGATCCCATCTTGAAATTAACCAACGTAAAAGCGTAGAACGGCTCAACTGGTAGAGCACCTACCTAGCAAGGGCAGGGAGTTCAATCACAACAGAAACAGCAGAACCCTAGGCTTTCAAATGATACAAGCAGGGGTCAGTGGAGGGTGCCTGGCGCCCTTCCCCCCACATGAGGAGTGCAGTGTCGGTCGGGGCAGGCCCTCTCTCTGGCGCCCTGCTGGTGCACAGACCTTGTCTGCGTGTGTGCCAGCACTGGGCTTGAACTCAGATCATCAGTGGCAATGAGCCCCAGGCACACTGAGAAGTGGAGGCACTGGACTGTTCAGGGGATCCTTTCAACCCGTATCTTGGCACCAGAACAGAAATTCAAGCACGTAGGTGCTTCACAGCTTTGCTGTATTATAATCTGAGTTAAGAAGAGGTATTTGTTTTTTTTGTGGGGGGAGGGAGGAGGGAATATAGCATTTTCAAGAAAATGCCGCCTGTATGTGCTAACACCTTGAGCCTGAGGCCCTAAACACCTGACACAGAATTAAGTACATTGCCAAAAACACACTGCATAGCTAGGGAAGTTACAATTGTGCCTTGCTTCTGAGTGAGAAGTGCTTCCATATCAATAGGAACTCTCAATCCACGCACTCAGAGCGCGCAGAAGCGATCTCAGGGCCACTGGCTTTCCTGGCTTCCCTAGTCTCAGCCAGGGACACATCAGCCACCGCTCTGGACTGCAGTTTTTCTGATGTCGGCTCCAGCTTTTTAAGTCTGTAGACCACGCCCAGCAGCTGCAGACTCCACTCATTTAATAGCTTCACAGCACGGCCCATGGGCAAGCTGCTTAGTTGCGGAAAAGCGTCCCTGACATAGCTACAGAGCTCAAACCTTGTTCATCTGCTCATCCTGAGGACGGCACACCACACAAAGCACGGTGGTCCACAGAGCACTGTACACTGACCACAGGACCTTGGGGTGCAGAGGAGTGCCACCAAGAGCCGAGGAGCAGGGCCTCCATGCCCACTGTGCAGGGCGCCCCAAACTCACCATGCCACTTGCCCTTATACACGGTGCCAAAGGAGCCCGACCCAATCCGAGTGGACAGCATCACTTCACTGGCTTCAATCTCCCAGTAATAGCTTGAATCTCTCTGTCCACGAGGCCTCTGAAACAAGCAGGAGCATTCACGTCAAAGAGAGGGCAATCTGACCCAGCCTGTTCCCTCATCTTGTGAAATCGGTCTTTGGGAAATGCTATAGCTTGGCTATAGCAAACTGCCAAGGCATCTGACACCAAGATGCCAACAACGGTGCTAACACTTATCATCTCTTTCACTTGGTAAATTTTACCAGCCCCATTCCCAATGAAGTTAAATGCATTCTAATTCCCAGCCAGTCCGTTCTCACTGCACCTTCAGTGGCAGAACCTGCTGCTGGCCATACTCACAATTTTGTTTTTCTCCTGCATTCCGGATCCTGGTGCCCGCTCCCTCTGCACCGGCACGGGGGGTTTGGGCTGGGACCAGCCTGTGGGGCTCAGGTTGTTAGGGCTGCTGGACAGGGCTGAAGGAGAGGCTGAGCAGATAAGACAAACACAACCACACGTGAATAAGCCAACAGAAGACAGACTGGCACGAAGAGAAAAAGGACCATTACTGTTTGCTAAATGAGGGAAAAGTACCTGATTCACTGTGACTTCGAATTGCATCCTGAAAGAAAAGGAAAATGAGTCAAATCAGATACTGCAAGAGCTCTCTGGAAGTGGGAAAAGAAAAGAGTTTAGAGGAACAAAATGGAGTATAAAACTTCTGAAACACAAAGTCAAATTCCACATTCACCAAATGTCTGGGGCCAGTTTCTTTTTTTCTTTTTTCAGTTGGTCGTGGGGCTTGAACTCAGGGCATGGGCACTGTCCCCGAGCTCTTCAGCTCAAGGCTAGCGCTCTACCACTTGAGCCACAGCGCACTTCCGGCTTTTCTGTGTATGTGGTGCTGAGGAATGGAGCCCAGGGCCTCGTGCGTGCGAGGCAAGCGCTCTACCACTGAGCCACCTTCCCAGCCTCTGGGGCTAGTTTCTTCAAGACTAGTCTTGAATGAAACAATTTTTCATATGGAAAACATTTTTTTTTTTTTTTGGTCAGTCATGGGGCTTGAACTCTGGGCCTGGGCGCTGTCCCTCAGCTCTTCAGCTCAAGGCGAGCGCTCTACCACTTGAGCTACAGCGCCACTTCTGGTTTCCTGGTGGTTTATTGGAGATAGGAGTCTCACGCGATCCTCAGATCTCAGCCTCCTGAGTAGCTAGGATTACAGGCGTGAGCCACCAGCGCCTGGCGGAAAACATTTTTTTTCCAAAGAAAAACAATGTAAATAAACTATATACTCTATCAAGAAAGACTAAAAAAGTGACTATCAGCTGGGATCTTTCCAAAGACAACATTTTGCTCTGAGAAAGCTTAAAAAAAAAAAAAAGCAGGAAGAGAGAAAATGAGAAGAGAAAGCTGGCAGAGGTGCGCCTCCTCTCCCCACACTAGGAGCGGCTGTTACTCTATCTGAGCCCAGTCACAGAGAGGCACAACACGAGCCCCCAGTCCAGTCCCACCCCTCCACTACACGTGCGAAAAGCACCAGTGACGTGGCCCGCAGCAGGCGGTGGAAAGGAAGCGTGGCACCGTGTGTGGCTGCAGGCAAGACCAGCAGAGCGCTGTCTCCGCCTACACTGACATACTCCTCAGTGACAGGTCAAAGGTTACCTCTGGAATGTCTTGGAAACTGTTTGGAGAACTGTTTCAATCACAAGAGGCCCTGTGTTTAAACGTGTGTTTCTGGGGGGTTCTTTGAGAACCATGGTGGGACAAGACACCAGTGTTCTGGCGCTGTCCGCTGTGACAGGACACGCCCACTCAGCGAAGCTCAGGGCACACTATGAGGCCCAGGCCAACCTGGAACTCGGGAACCTCCTACTCCATCCCCTCAGTGCTGGGATTGCAGATGTGGCCACACATTTGGCTCTCAAGGACATCTTGTCAGGAGAGAAAACAATCTTAGCTGTTTCTCCACTGCTCCCCTCCCTCCCTCCCATTTTAGCAGTGTTGCCAAAGCATCTTCAGAGTTCTTAGTAAGGCCTGGTTCTGGTTCCCCAACCTGGCCAGTCTTCACAAATCATCTGGAGAGGGGCCTGCAGCATAAGCCCCGCCCGCCTGCGAAGGCTGATTCTGAGTATGTGAGGGAAGGGGGAAGCCGGGTCTAGGCTGAGTGCAGTGGGGTGAGTGCAGGTGGGCAGGATGCTGGCAGAAATGACCTGGCCATCAACAGAACTGCAGGAGCTGGGGCTGCCTCATCCACCCAACCGGGCCTATGCTTGCTGTCAAGCAAAGTACAATGCATTTTTATTAGCCATTATCGTTATTTCCCTGTACATTGTATTTTATTTGATGGCAATTTTTATAATTTTATCAATTTATTCTAGGAGAGATTTTTTTTTATAAAACTGGAATGTAAATACTAGTTTAGAAGAATTATAACCCGCTGGGCATCGGTGGCTCATGCCTATAATCCTAGCTATTCAGGAGGCTGAGATCTGAGGATCACAGTACAAGGCCAGCCAGGGCAGGAAAGTCCGTGAGACTCTTATCTCCAATAAACCACTCGAAAACCGGAAATGGAGCTGTGGCTCAAGTGGTAGAGCGATCGCCTTAAGCTGAAGAGCACAGGGACAGTGCCCAAGCCTAGAGTTCAAGCCCCACGACTGCCAAAAAATAAAAAAGAAGAATTATAATCCTTTAAAATGCTGAGTCAAAAAGGATTTGAGGGGGGGGGGAATCAAAATTGACTTCCAAAGTATAGGAAGGCAAAACACAGCAATCAAGCTGCAGTTTTTCACTTTTAATATTCCTTCTTGGAATTAGCATGTTTAAGAGAAAACGAATCATCTAATAGAAGAAAAAACAGCTACTCTATTATGGCATTATTATGAGGACTAAGTGTAATGATGTAACAAATAAGTTTCAGAATACACACGGCCACCACAGTAACGAGAGAAGAAGCATGTCAAAGTTGCCTGTGGTTTGGGATAGCTGTGACTAACACGGAGGTACCTCTGAGTTCTCTCAAGGATTCATTCTTGGTACAGGGTTCCAGGGCATATCAATCTATCTTTGTGTTTTCTTTTTCTTTCTTTTTTTTTTTTGCCAGTCCTGGGGCTTAACTTGGCCTGGACACTGTCCCTCAGCTCTTCAGCTCAAGGCTAGCATTCTACCACTTGAGCCACAGCACCACTGTCAGTTTTTTCTGTTTATGTGGTGCTGAGGAATGGAACCCAGGGTCTCATGCATGCTAGGCAAGCGCTCTACCACTGAGCCAACTTCTCAGCCCCAGAACTAATTTTTCAAAAAATAATTTTCAATGCCATTGGCTTAAAATATTTAATTTGAAAAACACATTTTTCAGTAAAATCATATACAGTACATTTTTATTCACACATACTCTTGACAACAAAATGAAAACATAGAAAGCAGTGTAAGGGCTGGGAAAGTGGCTCAGTAGTAGAGCGCTTGCCTTGCATGCATGAGGCCCTGGGTTCGATTCCTCAGCACCACATAACCAAAAAGAAAAAAAGCCGGAAGTGGCGCTGTGGCTCAAGTGGTAGAACGCTAGCCTTGAGCTGAAGAACTGAGGGACAGCACCCAGGCCCAGAGTTCAGGCCCCAAGACCGGACCCAAAAAAAAAAAAAGAAAGCAGTGTAAATAGAAATATAAACTTTAACCCAGCAATTGCTTCGCTGACCAACAGTCTTAGCCCTTAATCATAAGAGAGCAAAGGCATGAAGAAAAATACCTACTCTTCCCCTCAAACAAAATCGTCTGGACCACGCCCTGGGAGAAGCATTCAGGCTGTTATTCTAGTCCAAAGCAATGAGAAATAAAGAAGAATAAAGAACAAAGCAAGTATTTTGAGTGTATGCAGTTGTTAATAACGATGAACTCGAAAGTAAACTAAACAAGAACATACCACAAAGCCAAGAGAAGAAAGAGCAGGTTGGAAACTCTAGCTCGGAGCACTGTCACAACTGCCTAAACACCTGCTAATTACACTCTAGGACTGCAGCCATCTACTTCTAAATACGATCAGCACACTTGTAGGAGGTACTAACTGCACCTCACTGTTATTTTCTCTCACACACAAACATGGAACTACTCCACACAGCTTTCACGCTAGCTAACTGAAACGCTATCCAAATCTGATGTGCGGAAAGGACAGCCTCTCTGCAGGAGGCTCCGCTTCTCCACCTGACCTACCAACCTAAGTATACCGCCAGGCTCCAATGTCATGAACAAAGAAAAACACTGCACCACCCCTCATTAGGTTTGAAACCTGAAACCCACCAGCGAAACTCCTCACCAGCCCCAGGATACCCCGTTACCTCGATCATCCTGCTGTCCACAGGCAGGGCGGTGCTGACCATGTGGACATTGGGTGTGGACGTGGACCGCTGCCTCTGGGACAGGGAGCCTTCGGAGGAGGGGCTGGAGGCATTGAAGGTGAAGGCGTGGGGCGTGGAATGCCTGTGGTAGGTACTGGGCAGAGAGGAGAAAGAAAACCCCATGTTGGCACTTAGGCTGCCATGCTGGTCCAATCATGCAACTATCTTCCTCAGTAAGGTATTTCAAGAGCAAATTCAGGCACTTCAGCGTGCCAATTTTTGAAAAGAAAAATAACATATGCACTTGGTATTTCATACACACACAAAAAGGGAAAAATACACTGTATGTTCTCCCCTTTTTAATAAATCAGCTATGCAGAAGACCAAGTGTTTATAGCATCTCTTGAGAAACAACAGACTGACTTTTGTGGAGCACTATCGTCTCCTAGACTGGAGGGAACTGCCCAGCTTCACTTAAAGACTGAATTCGAGGATGTGAGAGATCTTTGAACAAGTGTAGTTAGAGCTGCAGAGCACATCTGCAAAGTGGACACAAGGTATGGCCCACTGCGTCCTCCCCACAGACAGTCCACTGGGCACCTTATTCCCACTTCGGGCTCCAGATTGGCAGCAACTGAAGTTAATCGCTGGCTTTTGTTCAGCCGCACAGCTCTCTCATCAGACAAACCAGAGCATTAACATGATATTGTGGGATGGAGATATAGCTCAGGGTTACAGCACTGACCTCATATGCGTGAGGTCCTGGGCCCGTCCCAGCACAGCAAAACAATAGAACAAAACACACCAGTTATGTCTGGGCATGTGGCTCAGGAGCCCAGTTCTCATGGGCCTAGGTGAGGCCAGAGGTTCCATCCCCATACTGTTCCATCCCCTCCATACCGTAACGGGTAACGTTCCACTATCTGCTATTAAGATTAGCTTAAGCTTTGTTCAGCTGAGGTATGAACGCATTATGAACTCAAGGGATGAAAGTCTGGATTTTCTAAGGGAAATTGTTCTCTGATCTTGAAAAACCACCTTCTCCCGCCATTCTCTGTGCTTTTGGAAGCCGAGCTCCTCCTCATTGTTGGAGGCAATCAAACATCAACACATATCATGATGATTCAACCCCTTTTTGAAGAGGCTGCCTTTATTCCAGGCTGATTTCACAAGGCCACTAAACATTACCTCATTACATATAGATTAAAGCCAGATATTCTGAACAAAGACATTTTGTTTTAGATTCTAAATTCTTATGTAACACTGAGAAATGGTAACTAAATTCTGAAAGCCGGTAAAGACAAATTACATGCTTAATTCAAAGGCCTATTAGAAAGGATATTTTTATTTTTTATTTTTTTGGGGGGTCCAGTCGTGGGGCCTGAACTCTGGGCCTGGGCGCTCTCCCTCAGCTCTTCAGCTCAAAGCTAGCACTCTACCACTTGAGCCATAGCGCCACTTCCGGCTTTTTTCTTTTTGTTTATGTGGTGCTGGGCCTCAGGCATGCAAGGCAAGCGCTTTACCACTGAGCCACCTTCCCAGCCCGTAGAAAGGACATTTATAATGTTATAATGAAACCCAGTTTTGTACAATTAATGCATGTTAATAAGAATAAAAAATTTGGAAGTGGTGCTGTGGCTCAAGTGGTAGAGCACTAGCCTTGAGCTGAAGAGCTGAGGGACAGCGCCCAGGCCCAGAGTTCAGGCCCCACAACCAACA